ACAAGATTGGTCCGGTGAATAAGCCAGTGAAAGTGCTTATAAGGAAACTCAAGAGCACAGATGAGCGTTTTTTCGTTATAGGAGAGCCAAGAATCCTCGCTATCCCACAGGATGAAAAGTTTTCCCGTACATTGGCTAAATGAGTTGTGTGATCTCTTGAATATCGTTGAAATGAAGCCATTGATATACCTACCGTGCTCCTTCTTGGACGGATGTGGTCGAATCTTTCCTTGTCGATTTGCAATTTTTAAAATTCGTCTTAATATTTATGAACTGGTTTTATTGAGTCTTACAGCTGCAATAACGGCCGCTCCGATTAATTTCGTTAATCGGAGGTAAATACAAGACCGCATTAAGCGTGTATGAGGGCCTCAGGCAAAGGTGCGCTTACACAATTTCATTTAGCCATATGAAGAGTAAATAAACACATGGAGTTTCTATATATTTCGGCAGCATCGCCATCGCACGTTTGTATGGGAGGTGCCACGCCCCCTTTTCCAATAGCTTCCAGTTTTCGCCATAAGTAGGGTATTTAAAATTTATGCAGCCGTGCCAAGTTTCAGTTCCCCAGCTTAGTGGGTTTAAGAGATATATGAGTGTCCTGAAAAAAGGGGCTTCCATATTTTATTGTGACGAATGTATATGTGTAGATCATCATTCTCCTACTGTATAAGAACGTTAGGTATATCCCGACCTCAGCGCCTCCTGTTGTGTAATTTTTTAGTCCAAATATTCCTTTTCGCTTGGCTAACAAATGTTCTAAATATGAGCCAAATCTGCAACTAAATGCAGTTTTAGGAGCATACCGACCCCTGCGCCACCTAGCGGTTCAGATTTAAGCCGGAATACTTCCCTTTAAGGTGCTGACATATTTTCCAAATATGAACGAAATCGGTCCCGCCGTTTGGTAGTTTAGTCACATACAATATACGGAGAAATCTTTGAAATTGTGAGATCGTCATGTCTCAGCTTTCTTAATTTTTTTGCAACAATAACAAAAAGATTTGATTTTTTTAAAATCGAAAAACCTTCCACACAGAAGATCGAAAAAAGTACTTTTTACAGAATTGAAATCGGTTCAGCCTTTTGGTCAGGCATCGCCGTCATACGAAAGACATTTAATTTTTATATATATAAGATGTATGTATGTTAATATTCGCATACGAATACTGTTTCGATCGGTTTATGACTGTTTCTAGGCGCTCCACAATTTCAAGCAAAAAAGTACTCGAAAACGGAATCATAAACGATTTTTTGTCCGGTTTTTCTTCGAGAAAATATCCAGTTACAAGCTCGTTTACGATGTTTTTGCTGGCTGGGTAGAACTGTGCCAAAATCCGGAATTTTATTCTAACTGCACAAGAATTTCATTAGTGGCATTCGACTATATTCTTAATAAAATAATGAAATTTGCCAGTCACCGAAAACAAGAAACACAAAAAATAGCAGCCTGCTTTGCCCCTTTGCCCTTTCGAAGTCACTGAAAGTAGCGGTGCTTTCCAAAACGTCAGAATACAAAGCATCAGACTCTTTTATTTCTAAACCGCATTAGAAGAAAAGTCTAACTTTTGCAACCTAGCAGAAAACTACCATCTAATCGTGGTTGCGTACATTTGGCATTACAATCTACTGAGGTTTAGAAATAAAAGAGACTATACTGATGCTCTATATTTTGACACCATAGTTTTGCTGCTCGCTCTCACTCTCGACAACATTTAGCGTTTTGCATAAGAATACAGTTGCAGCGGTTTATAGCTAGCGCCATCCTATAGCATCGCTTCTCGCTCCCACTCGGACATCAATGTAAGTCTGCCTTGAATCCGTTACGCCGTCCCCTATTAATTACCTTCAAGACCACAGCGTGCCCGTAATGTATCTGCTCCACAATTTTGATTCCCTTATTATAAGGTCCCCTGTTATGAATACTACTTGTGGTGGCTTCAAGTAAAACAGTTCGGTTTTAGGTGGGCTTAACTCGAGGCCCCTTTTTGTTTCGTCCAGTTGGAAACACTGCCCAGTGTCAATTCCATCAGCTCACTAATTGTTGGCAAGAATTTGCTGGAAATCTGTACACATTAAGTACTAATTGCCTTGGCGAGCTTTTTCTCCGAACGGAAGACGAGTTTTTATAAGTAGCGTTTTCATGGCAGAAGCTTAGTCATTGCCTGCCAAAGCAATGGATTTTGGTCGGAGCAAAAATTGAAACCTGGGTTGTTGTTGTTGTAACAGCATAAAAATAACTCAAAAAGTGTTGGGGACCTAACTGTCATCCGATTAATCGAACCCGTGTCTTATCGGGTTGTAGTGCACACCTTTAACGTCGGCTACGGCGGTCGCCAATTTTCGTAACAAAGTTGAAAAAGCTCTTCATTTACGCCTAACAAGCTCAGACACGCGGATTATAACGATCTGAGAACAGACATTTTTTAATTCGTTACGTTTTTAAGGCAAAACCTTTTTTTCAAAGGAAAGATACCATTTTCATTGAAACCGATTATCTTCCTTAACATTAAATGACTAACTACAATTGACACTGAATTATCATCATATAGATATTAGGATATGTACATATGTAAGTGCTTCCGGTGGTAAGAAAGAAGAAGTAAACATTTCAGTTACCTTCTCGTGGTCGAAATTCTGCAAAATTTTGTATTTCACACTTCAATAAATCACAAAAACCAAATAAAATCACAAACAAATTTTTAGTAATCCTCTCGCGTTGAATAATTGTCAGTAAATGTCAACCGAAATGTGAAAATCAAAGCCTTTTATCAGTAAAAATGATTGCCAGGTATACAGCAAATGGCAAAACTGATTCACAATAGATAGTGCAGATAATTTTTTTTAGCAGATAACTAAGCAAATTACACACTTAGTCTACATCCATTCATCTGCGCAGCAGTGAGTCATTCAAATGAATATTGTTTGGTATGTAAATGCGTTTTAGCAAAAAATACCTAAATAGTTTTATGACTAATGCAGTAAATGCGCTTTACGATTCGATTTTGCGCTAAGCATTGGCAACCCTAAAACTTCACCTCAAGTACTCTTAATCTTATCAAACCAAAATGGTAAACACCCTTCTCCACGGCATCCTCTAACAGAAAGTAAATACTCGTAGCAATAATTGGACCGAATATTCGTATATGAATTTATGTGAGCGCTACAGATACATACTCGACAGGTGAGAGTAGTCACATTCGTCAATAACTTTTGCAAAATCGACGCATTGCTATCATTCGTTATCAGCAGCTATTGTTAGCTTATCATCTTTGTATGTAGACTACCAAATATAGACATACATATGTACATTAGGGTGGTCCAAAAATGCATGTGATAAAGTTAAGTCGGAATTTTTGTACTCTCGCCCCCTAAGGTGGTTCTATATCGAAAAAAACGTTTTGCTTTTAAGTGGCAAGCACAATAACCATGCCGAGTTTGGTACAAATTGGTTGAACAGTTACCGAAATACATACATATATGTGATCATAAGTGGGCGGTGCCACGCCCATTTTCCAAAAATGTATCATAAACGTATTTCCTGGTAAAGAATTGTTGCAAGCATCAATTTTGAATAAATTAGCTTTAATATATACTGATTTACCGTTATATGGGATGAGGGCGTGGTTATTGTCCGATTTTAAAAATTTTCGGCCTTTGGTATGCTGTGCCAAGGCCAAAACTGTGCCAAGTTTGGAAGAAATTGGTGCAGCGGTTACCAAGATATACACATGTAACCAGAAGTGGGCGTGGCTACCCCCCTTTTCCAAAAATTTATAATATTCTTATTTTTCGTCTAAAAATTTTTGTAAACATCAATTTTGAGTGAATAATCTTCACTTCTTCTTCTTCTTCTTCTTTTTTGGCGCTGTAACCGCCTAAGCGATTTTGGCCGAGCTCAGCAAAGCACGCCAGTCGTTTCTCCTCTGTGCCAACTGACGCCAATTGGAAACGCCAAGTGAAGCCAAGTCCTTCTCCACCTGATCTTTCCATCGCAGTGGGGGCCTCCCTCTTCCTCTGCTACCACCAGCGGGTTCCGAGTTGAATACTTTCAGAGCTGGAGCGTCGGTGTCCATTCGAACAACATGCCCAAGCCAGCGGAGCCGCCGTATTTTAATTCGCTGCACTATGTCCATATCTTCACTAGTTACTAAAATATCGCAGTTTTCGTATTTTTGAAATTTACCGTTATATGGGAGGTAGGCGTGGTTATTGTCCGATTTTGCCCATTTTCAATACCATCCGTCCTACGCCCGAAAGAAGTGCACTTACCAAGTTTCGTTAAGATATCTAAATTTTTACTCGAGTTAACGTGTGCACAGACGGACGGACGGACGGACAGACAGTCACCGCTTAATCGATTTCCCTTTTCATTCTGATCATTTATGTATAAATTTGTCTATATCCATCTCGATTCGTTTTGCCTGTTACAAACAACCGTTATGTGAACAAAGTTATAATACCCTTGTGCACAAGTGCGCTCGGGTATAAAAAGCAACTTTTCTTAGAAATGGTTCAGAATTCTTGAAAATCAATATTAGTCGACCTGAAAACTCTGTTTCTCTTTAGGAAATTTGCAATAATAATATCCAATTATTTTTTTAACCATTGTTGCATAGTAACTATATTTTATAGGTCCGCCAAAACCTCTAGAAAATGCAATGGAGGAGGGGTTAAATAAACAATTGGGTATTGTTACTGGAAGTCTCCTGGAGAGAACCAGAGTTTTCCGATCGAAGAATATTGATTTTCAAGAATTCTATACCATTTCCACGAAAAGTTGTTTTTTCCCCAAATAAAATACATGGACAATTTTGAGCACTTTCAGCTACCTCTAAATATTGTTTGATTTCAAAATAAAAAAAGGGTTATATTTTTTTCAATAAAGAACAATCCTAATGGGTGAGAGCATTACAATTACATAATTGGGCCACCCAAATCTACATACATACATATTCCAGCAATCAATGTTAACCAAGTCGGTGGTCATGTCAACTTACCGTGTCTCATTAGTACGCTGTGCTGTGGATTACGTATGATACGTATTTGTCGATCAGGATGTTGGGGTTCGCCAAATTCACCGCCAATATCCTTGGGCAGTTGCCAAAGGGCACTACGCTCTTCGAGGTGATCGCGTGGAAAATAGAGCGGCGCTAGCACCTCATAAATGCCACGTTCGTGTGCACTTACACACAATATCACAATTTGCGTTAGATATTTATCTAAGAAGCGTCGAATTGTACCTGAAAGGAAAAAAATGTAGAGATATTTAATTGCATTAAAAATGAATAGAATATGAAATATTTACGCAGCGCTATGTGGGCAGCTAAGTCGGCTGGGAAACTACTCTGATTGGCACTTAAGTTGCTAATAGCGATTGTACGTAGATTTAGTTCTTTAGCTTTGTACAAAGCATTTCTGAAAAAAGTAAATGAAAAATATACGCATGTATGTATATTATTGGAAATTAAAATTTTCACTTTCTGCAGAAAACCCACTGCAAAAAATAGAGTAGGAAAGTAAATGTCTAATATCCTCATAGACCCTGGCTGAGAACAATGCTATCCAATTAATCTGGATACCAGGGCACATGAGAGTCGAAGGAGATGAAAAAGCTGAGCAGTTAGCCAGAATAACTACTGCCGCGACATCGATAGGACCTGAGCCCCTCCTTGTGATAGGCGCTTACACGATAAAGAAAGCTAATCAGAAAGGAAAATACTAAACTGAAAGAACTCCACCGGCGCAATAGCATGGGCCTCGTCTAGCTTAAAGCTTACTAGAGAGCTACAACCTAAAGAGATACAGGCTACTCATAAACCTCCTTAAGGATAGTCTAAGAATTATGACAGGTATTTGGTATGAACTGAGAATACAATAGACATACTGGTCTCAGTGCTTACTCTATTTATAACTATCTTTCTATCAAAATTTTTATTATCCGTTTGGAAGTACAGGGCATTGCAAAAAAAAACGAAAAAAAGCCTCAAAGTTAATAGTAGATTAAAGAATTTTAAATGTAGCCAGCTGCAGAGACTTTTGTGATAGCTCGCCGTCGTCTACCGTCTGGCAGCATTTTGCAACTAAGTATGCCGGGGGTTTCGTCTGGAGCTAGCTGAACCAAAAACCCGTCAATTCAGAAACAATCGGGAGATTGTCACAGAAACTCCTTAACATTTTCTGTAAAAAAAAAACGGCCTGCAATGTCACTGTGACCCTAGACCCAATAAGTCTCCCACTTTCCATCGTAGCAACTGCAATCTTAGTGCCGGCATTGCTGCTTGGCTTGGCGCAGAAATACGGCAGCTGAAGCATGAATCAGGCAGTTCATGACAGAAAAAACCTTCTTAAACTTTACTATTGAACTTCGACCCATTCACCCCTTAAAGGACTGCGGTAGCTTTACCAGAAATGCCTAAGGATACGATGCTAAGCACTAGAATAGGCGCGGTCCGGAGCGCTGCGTTAATTACTACAAATGTCGCTCTCTTTGGCTGCATTTATTACGTGTTATTTTATAGCGAATTCCACTAAACAGTGACCACAGAGAACAATATGGGTTTGATTATGGTTTCCTACAACCAAGATATTACTTCTGGAGATATTTAGTCCACATCTCTCCCCCATGGTGCTCTTATAGTAGTATAGAACAACTTAGACTTATTATACCCTCTCCTCAATATTGGACTCCCCTTGACGCTTTCAGAGAACAAAGTGGAATGCTATTGATCAATGAAATCTGGACATTAGGCACCTTGCGTCTCTTAGTGAACAAGAAGGGCTCCGTATTTCTAGGAGTAATAGCAGGTCTGCAGCTATCCGACGAATTTGTGACTAACCTTAAGTACCTCCCATACGATTATACAGAGAGTCCACATCGACACCGTAGGCGATAACTCAACACCCTCTCCAGGTCGTCATTCTCTTAAATTAGACTTACTAAGCTTAAACTCATTCGGTGGCCTCAGATGTCTGATGTGACGTCACGCAGGAAGGAATTATTACATTTCTCTAAAACTGAGGATATGAAGACCTTGGCGGCAGTCTTAATAACGAATAAATGTTTATAAATATGGTGTGGCTTGAGAACTTTCAGTTGTTTGGAAATCTATGAACTTGCCTCAAAACGTTAGTTCCTGAACAGATGTCCATTTTGGAGCCATTTGAGAAGTTCGGAATATTTTCATCAGATTCCTAGTTATTGCTGCCAAGGAAGTGTACTTTTTGGTCACAATAATTCGGACAGTCTTGACTCTTATGCTCTACCCGACTCTATTTTAGGTTAAGGCGAGATCGTTGTTTGGCTTCCGTAGCCTATATAGCCTATGACAAGTCCTAATCTTAGGCTTCCCTTAGCTATAAGGCATATGTATATCTTATGTACCGAACATTTGTCCCAAAACTGGCAGTAAATTTGAATCTTTAAATACCTCGACACCAGCGCCACCTAGCGGCATCGATTCTAAAAAAATGCTTGTTATCACCTTGTTAGGCGCTCTCTGCTCTTTTACAACCAGCCTACAGAAACTTCACCTGAAACTTCGTTTTCGCTGGACCCACGCGATATAGATACGACAGAATTGAAAGAAGTGAGCTCAATAAGGAACCGACACAGAAACTGATAAACTACAATTACATAAATGTGGACACAGTAATGGTAATGACAAAAGAGTTTCGAATGGATATTAACATTTTTCTTACAATAATTATTAACAGAGCCCGCTTTACATTCCACTTACCTGTAAGAGTAATGCAGTGTACTTTCAGCAGCACTTTTGAATGTCTCCTTAACAGCTGGTCCGACGGTGTGTAGCACACACTTGGCTGACAAATTGTAGCCACGAGTGACGCACACCTCACCAGTTCGGCACTCTATGCAGAAAAAAAATAAAACAAAGTTTTATAGTGAAATTTCAAACAATATTTAATTAAGTGAATGTACACACCTTTTAAATTATTGCTTAATTCTTCTTTTAATTGATTACCGGCAGCTGCATAAATGCGTTCGGCAATTGGATTAGTCTCGTTTTGTGTCTCCTCGATTATGTTTGTGATGCCGTCCACCTCGAGTGTGGTTATATCCCCCTCCCTATAGAATGGGAAACAAAAAAAAAATCGTTAAACCAAATCCGTGGAAGACGTAATTGAGAATGTTTAACATATATGTAGAACATGCAATTTTTATATACTATTTAGTTTACCACAGCACGAAGCGATTGTTGACATCTTTCGATAGCGGAAATGGACTGCAATTATGTCGTGGGCCGCCCAAAGTGGAATAATCCGTTATAGGTAAACGGGTATCTGTCTTCTCTGAGCCACCCCAGACTGAGAGTGTGTCAAATTTTACTTTCTGCTTTGAGAGGTGGACAAATGAAGAAGATGAGAAAAGGCAAAAAAAAAAAATAAATTATTATTTATTAAATTATCATATTTGTTGTAAAATTGTTGGAGGCGTTTTTAACTTACGCACAATGTCGAGTCTGTCGACGTCTTACAATCCTCATTGGAATTGGAATCAAGGCGCATGTCTCTGTAAAGATAACGGCGAAAGGGCAAATAGAAAGAATTTTATTAGCAATATTACTAAGGTAAATATTATTTGCCTAAATATAAAGTATATATGTAGGTGTTACGAAATAATAATGTGGAGTGTAATGAAGGATTTATGAATATTGATTGGGTATTAAGCAGATACATCAATGTATGTTTGCACGCGAAGATATTTTAAGATGGCTTAGAGCGTTTTCTTGTTTAAATTTATTGGGATGACCAAAAACTTTTACAGATACACCCATTTAATATTTAGATATTATTGGCTGCCAGCATTTAGTTATTCTTATGTACTTTTATGATTCAAATTTAAGCAGCTTCGTCATATACCCTCTAATATAAGAGTTGTTTGAAAGCGAAAAAGGTCAAAGCGGCGTTCAAATAAGACGCTTTTCCAGGCAATTTTTGAGGCGATTAGTTGAATCAAAAGTTGGCTGCACCCCAACTTTATTAGAAGCAATTATTTGAAAGGCCGTTCACACCAGGCGATTGTTGCTTTCAACTAAAAGTTGCCTGTAAAATTGCCTCATGCAATTTTTAAACAAAAAAAAAACAACTGAATTCAATGCTTATATAAAAAATTTGAGAGTACCTTTAATTTCTTCATGATTCAATCATCGGCACTAAATGAAATTAGTATGGGACCACCTTTACGATAGAAAAAAAGAATTATTGCAACGATGGTCGTGGCTCAAAGTCATCCAGTAGCATATGTATATAAAAAAATATATATATATCCCGCTGAATATCCCAGTTCGACCTTTTGTAACTGATAACAGTATGAGTTTAAACAATCTACAGCTGCTAGATAACTTCCACATAGCACTTAGTGAGCTTTTTATCCTCTCTTTGTTGAGGGCTTTGATGGTTGAAGTTTGTTAAAACCGTATTTTGATCAAATATCCTCTAAGAAAATACGAAACTTTACTTGGGACATACAAAGTTTGTTCCAAAATCTTTCATTATTTTTTGTATCGAGGTTTTGATATTCTATATATAATGAAACTATAGATATAACGAAGCATTTGTCCAACCACTTCGACATAGTTTAAGAACTGAAGGAGTACACATGCAATCTCAACACCCAGATGTATCAAGTGTTCGGAGAGAAAGCTTACCCTCAGCATGCTGTAATTGCTCTGTGACGTGTCGATTTTCCATGGCTTAACTGGTTACAAGGTTTGTTTTTTTTTTAACTTGAAGTATGTATGCTACTGCCACTACGTAAATTTTGCCTTTGAATTCAAATAATAAGTCAGGTGCCGAAAAAAGTACAAACAGTTTTCCAAATAAATATGTACATATATATAGCGAAATTTCAGTTTTTAAGGTTAAAGAAAGGTTGCGTTCCCTAACTCGCATGAAGTTGCAAGAATTTACCAGAAAACGTAACCGTACTAGGTTCTCTGGCAAAGTAGGGGAAAAATGGGAGAGTAAAATCGGTTCTCTCTTTGTCAGATATTGAAATATTTTACCCGAAAAATTTTTGCCGGCAAAATGTGTTAAAGTTTCAAACCATCAACGTTGTTCAATGTTGTCAAAACTAATTGAAAGTTGAACGAGTAATTTTTAAGCAAAGAACAAAACCGACTTCAATTCTCGTATAAAAATTTAAGATTATCGTTAATCACTCCACGATCTAATGATCGGATTTAAACCCAATTAAATTCCTTTAAAAAAAGAATTATAGTAATCGGTTAACGTGGTCCACAGTAGTGCGGTACCATTAAAAAAAAACATATTCCGACGAATGGATAACCTTCCTCCTTTGTGTGAAGTCGGTTATTAAGCAAAAACAAAAGTACATCTGCATTTTCACCTTATTAAATACATACATATTTCGTAGCGAAGATATATCAAGTTATGTAAGTATTTTTGTTAATTTTCTTGTGTATTTTTCGTTGGCAGATCACCAAATGATAAAAAAAACAGCTATGTCAACAAAAAATGGCGTTCACAGTGCGTTTGACAGTTTTACCAATTTGTAACCGAAAAGCGTTCCCGTACATTTAGGGTTTTCTCTCTTTCTCTGAGAGCAATTTTGCTTTTTGACAGTTTTACGGATTTTATTCGGAAAAGTTTTGGACGAAACTGTCAGTTAGGTTTTTCACACCAGCTTGGTTTATTTCAAAGTTCTTGTATGATTTATGAAATTAAAGCCATTAAATTTTCTATGAAAATGTTGGTCTAGTAACAACATACAATTTTCACAATACTTTATAAAAATAATATTTGGCTTTGCTCGATATGAATTACGACGTCTCGTAAGCCATGTGTAGCGTTGAACATCTATCGAGTATTCGAAGTACTTAATGGAATGCCAACTTTTGCTGGCTAAATTTTAATTACGTTTAGTATCGCTTAACACACTGCAAATAACTGTAATTACGTTGATTAAATTCCTGCATATCATGCAGGTTGTGCAAAAACAATATAACCCTAATAAACTTTAATAAGTCTGAACATTAAATGAATTAAAAATGTGCGTCGCAATTGAAGTGTATATACTCTCTAGTCAGTATACCCATCATACATATAGTACATATAAATATGTACATAAGTATGTATATACATACGTACATACGTAAAGGGTGGTCCAATTAAAGATTTAATTTAAAAATGCAACGGTGGCTAATTACAATTTAGCTAGTGCTTATCACCTTTTTTTACAAACACAAAAATGCAATAATTGCAAACAACAAAAAGTTACGAAAAGCTTAAAAAAACGCCCAAAAACAAATAAAAAGCTTTGAAAAATATTTAAGAAGAAATTATTAAAATAAGAAAAGAATCTTGATTTGAAATACTTATATAAGACATTTAGTTTAAACTTAAAATAAAAAGTATCACCAAAAAATTAAGAGTAAGCAGAAAAAATTTAAACTTACCAAAAAATTTAACAAAAAATTAAAGGAATACAAAAAATCACAAACGATAGAAAAAAGTAAAAAATATTCAAAAAAATTAAAAACAGTTATAAGGAAATAATGGAACCTTCATAAATAAAAATGTTTTTGTTATAAGTTTTGGTTGCTTGGGTTAAATAAAAAAGGTTACCCAAATACAATAGAAACATTTTAGAAAAATCAACAAAAACACCTAATTAAAAAAAAATAAAAGGCAAGCAAAATTGCTTGAAAGATTTGATTACACACAGGTGAATCAGGAGCTTATAATAAATAGGCTTGACCAAAAAATTTAAGCAATGCAAGAACAGCTTGAGTTTAAGTATTTGCATATATTTTGCGCAGGAAACTCCGATATTTTTGCCTTTCATAGCCGGTAGTTTCAAAAAATTATCGATAAAAAGTGAGCTGAAGCTCAGACTCAATTTTCGCACTGAGCAAGTGAGTTCAAGGATTTATACTTAAAATCGAGTGAAGGTGAACTCTTTTTCGCTCTTTTCCGACTTTCGAGTTTTTCAGATCTCTTAAAGATTTTTTCGAACCTTTTTGATATTACTCGGAATCAGGATTTCTCGGCACTTTTTTTGGTATTTTTCAGAAATTTTTGGTTATTTTAATGCATTTTTCGGTTCAAAGAAACATTTAAATTTTTACTCTGAATCTCTAAAAAATAAAAGCTAAAAGTATGGAAATATTAAAAGTCTAGAGTTTATTAAAAGTTGCTGCCTTTTATTGAATAAGCCCGGTAAGCACCATAATACACGTTAATCACCTGTCATGTGAACGGAGTCTTAGGGTTGTAAATTCTTTACAATGAGATGAAATTTTGAAAAAAGACATTCGTGACTTGGCGAAATTATAGAGGAACAGTTGACGCGACGCACAGTGTTTCGACTATATGGAGGCAGGTGCTCTAGTTTTACTTAGAAATAGAGAATTATGAAATTTTGTAAAGATGGAATAATTGCCACGCCCTCTACTCTTGTGGGCGGAAACATTAAATTTCATCCGATTTCGATGAAATTTAGTTTGTAGTCTTTATTTTATTAGAAAAACCTAAATATAAAATATGGCGAAGACTGGATTACTATAACGTTCAAAACTCACAAAAAATGTGGGCCCAGTCATTAAATGTGATGGAATTTTGGGTAATTTTCGTTTCCTGCTTTCCACTCTCAGAAAACAAAGGTTATACAATAAAATGACTTAGGTGTCAATACTTGATTTTTTTCCAATATCTGGTGGGATTTTTTTATTTTCCAAAAAATTCTTTTCGCTAAATTATGCAAAAAGAAGCTAAAAATCAAAAATTAAGAAAATCAAAAATTACATATATTTGCAAAGTCGCGCGCATAGATCAAATTATATATTCGAAAACCACATACAATTCTTTAAAATATTAGTCTAATTTCAAGACCTGACCGGTACTCACATTTTTTTTACTAATAATCTTTAGCATCTACATTTCAGAGTACATTTTTTGGTAAGAAAATAGAAAAATACCAAACAAACGATAAATACCTTCACCTGAATATTCCAAGACATTTAGATAATTAATTACAGTTGAATAAGGAACACTTTCTGTAATGGGTTCAGCGCCAAATGCAACTAAACTGATTAGTCGGTATCGCGCCCATTCCCGTATTTTTTTTGGAAATGTATCGTTCGTGAAGAAGGGAGGTGAGTAAATAATGTAAACTTTGGTACTTATGACTTTTACTATTCCCTCTCTAAGTCAAACCGGTTTTTTTTTTACCAATCGTCACCATGACTTTTTTCTACCTGCTTCCATATAGTCGAAACACTGTGCGACGTTACTGTATTATAAACAGGCACTCTGTGCGGCCCTGCTTATGCTTGATTTCAACAAAGCATTAAATGACAAACAATTTTAATCACAAAGTTCGGCATTTAAAAAGCCGGTGTCCGTACGTTAAAAATAAAAGTCATTAAATCAATTTCCACTCGCCATTTCTTCAATGATGAAACATTTTCCGTCATTTAGGTTATTCCAATGCCTAGTGCAATTACTCAAGAATACTAATTATGAAGCAGTATTGTGAAGACGAATTAG